CTATGAAATATAAAAGGAACAATTATTGGAAGTTGAAGAGACAGGAAGAGGGGGAACAGGAACAACCGTTGAACATGAGATGGCTTGAATAGCTTCGAGTCCGATTAGCACTCTCACACTTCATATAACTTGAATCTTGCATGCACACAATATACAATATTGCAGGATTGTTGCCTCCCAGTAATGTGTAATGTGTTTAGCTATTCAAACCTTTACCTAACCATGAGTTTTGATGTTTCTTGATTCGCAGGGCTACTATTTCTACCTCTTTCATCAATAAACTTTGCATAAAGTTGCTGCATGTTATGCGATAGACTCAGAAGCTATCAAATTTGTTCACCTTCTCATGTTGTGTCGACAAGTTAGTGAAATGTTGTCTTCTCTTTTGTAACCGCCTGGATATTCCCTTCGCTTTATATCCTTTGTGGTCAAAATGAAAAGTAAATTTCGCTAAAGTGCGACTGCCAAATTCTGTGAATTTAAAATAAACAAAGCATTATGCGTAGTGACGGGAACTAGAAAATGTTATAAATGCCTGGTTCTAGCCAATAGGCATTTTATTGTCAGGGGGCACTGGAGATAATCAGTATGATCGAAAAGTTTTGTAAGTACCCAGCTTCATCTACAAATATCGATGCATTTATTGAGCTTGCATACTACCAAAGATACTTCGTTTAGAGCACATCTTTTATTCTGGAGCTAGCACTGGCTCTCTAAGACCAATACTGATGCTCATTGAAAATGAAGTGCAAGGTTCAACTTCACTTCTCGAATAAGCATTATCTAAATACAAATCCTGTTTTAGCAGACCCATCTAAGCTCCCTTATATATTTCCAGTGTAGCTTTTTAGCTGGATGATTACTACATTAGTCAGAGGACTCCATATAGCATAAAGATATTTCTCGACCGACACAGTTGTTTGAACCAATGTTGGAACTAGCATCCTTCCCTTTTGACCCACCCTTGTAGTAACATCCTCAACATACTCATCACGAACTTGCCTCCATAGGACGTTGTAGTTAAAGCCAATTTCCCTCTCTGTGAAACATTTCAGTGTCACATATGACTAAATTCGTTGCAGTTCAATCGTATAAATCAGTACCAAGGTGTGGTCGCAGTCTCCTCTCGCTGTATAGAAGTGACTTGAGCTCGTTTTCTTAACTTATATTCTTTTCTTAGTGTTGTCAGGGTGACCTAGTTGGACGCACCTTACCCGAAATCCTCTGCTATAGTCGTAAAAATTCCTAGTGTCGGACCATGGTAGACGGGTTTGGTTATATACATGGTCCATGAAGTAAAGGCTTGAACCCGAGATCTACCTGGTACGCATGCTGAACACTGATAAGGGAATCTGTAGAGTCAAGTAAGTTTTCCAGCCAGCCAGATAATCCAGACTTTGGAAGCCTGCTTAATGATGCGGGAATATACGTGCTGTCAAGGGCTTGAGGCAGAGTATGGGAAAGAAAGCCTCGATAAGCCCAGAAACGGTGGCAGTGATCGAGTGAAATCACTGGACCAGGCATAAACAGATCCGACGGGGCAGGAGGATTCTGATAGGAACTGGAGAATGAGGATGGCGGACTACACGGCAGTCTTTTATCAACACTCCAAGCATAATGGGGGGATGAGGGAGCCAGCGAGGAATTAGAATAGGTCTCACTAAATTCACCAAAAAGGGAAAGATAATATAGGATAGGTGAATACTCCAGAAGAGGAGAGACACCAAAACTGCTTAGAAGAAAATTGGTCACTTGACTTTTTGGCATGTTGTAGATTGGTGCTAAGAATGGCAAGGTTCACTGACGATGCCGACTATAATGCTGGCGAGACGTCTGAGAATGTATCATGTCCACGGTCCAACTCTGAATACAATGCTACGAAGCACAATATAAGAGAGGCTATTGACATTAATACATTAAATATGAGGAATGGTGGTAGAAAATTAAGTAAGAATTGCTTTGGCTCAATTGAAATACTGAAGGAGAGAGTGCAGAGCCGCTGACTTAAAGAAGACGATTCAACTTGTCAGCTGAGTTATAGCAGGAATGTAAAGATTTCCACCAAAAAAGACTTAAGAGATTACGCAATTCCAGTCATGGTATTCCTTAGGTCATTAAACCTTAATGACCCGGGTTTTTGATTGGTGCTTCCATAACATGACTTCCAAGAGTACAGGCTTATATCCCATTTATTTAGCCAGAGTTACGTAAGGACTAATGTAATCTGGGTCATGATTTTCTTTGGGTCATTAAATCTTGATGAACCGGCACTGAAATTAGGATGTTTTATAATTACTCTGGATATGACCACTATTGCATACAGACGTTGACACACAGGCGCGTGCACACAATGGGGTAAAAGAGAACTAACCAAACCATTATATACTCATCTATACCGAAATATTTTTTTTGCTATTAAAATATATAAATATATATATAGCGTCTATTTTTCTTGACCTGGTCAACCTGAGGCTTGTGCAAAAATGAGTCCCAGCTCTGGATGTATTTGTCCTATGACGAAGATAAGTTCAGCGTCAGCCTGAACGTCGAATTAAAGCTACAGTTCAACAGTGAGATCGACCTACGAATCTCTTCATCATGAACTTTCATACGAAATAAAAGTATTCACACAAAAAATGTTGATAGTTAAATCGAGTACCAATAGGTATGAAGCTAGAGGCGAGGAGCTGGGCATTATAAATGGTATTAAGTTATTATAAAGAGATAAGGTAGTTTAAATGTAGATACGAAGATAAGATGTTATGGCTACTACTTTGGTCGAAGTCTCCTTTCGATGGGTAGATGCGATCCAAGCTCGTTTTCGCAACTTGGTCTTGTTATCACGGAGACCTAGTTGGATACACCTTGCCAGAAGTCTTCCGATATAAAAGTTATCATAATCCCCAGCGTCGGACCGTGAACTTGGTACATTGCCAGACGTTTGGTTGGCAGGGTCAGTGAGCTTTGGCATCCTCAGCATCAAAGGATTGACTTCACTTGTCTCTCTGACGAGTTATAGCTCGATGCTGAGAATAGCAAGACTCACTGATGATGCCAACTGTGAAGCAGACGAGACATCTGGGAATGTACCAAGCCCATTGTCTGACGCAAAGGACTTCGGACAAGGTGCGTCTAGATAAGGTAGTGCTCGTTGCCCCTTTATAGGTGAATTTAAGCTTTATAGTTAAGTAACAGATTTATTCAAATTCTAGCAATTTCTTCAGTAGAACGAATAATAATTGGCTTAGCGTTTAGTTTAATACAAAAAGTGGTGTCACAAGAGATAATCAATAGTATGAAAAAAGTTTTTAAAATGATGAGGGGTATGAAATGCTGAAGCATAACGATCAATGAAAGCAAATGTGAGAACATGTTACTAAGTGCGTGAGAATCCCAACTTGTATTATATACTTACAGTGACGCTATGGTAAATGTTATAAAACAGGACAAGTTATGCTAGACCTTTGGATTAATTTCAAAAGTTCCAATGCTAAACTTACTGATATTAAAATGTGATAAAGGAAAAAGCATAACTCACTGTCGAATTATCTTAATGTTTACAGTGTAAGTCAGCATTATTTAATGATATTCAATTCCTACTCATGTATATAACCAAGGCTTGGAAATCAATAGGATGCCACCTTTGGCAGGGAACCAACCTATGGAGAGAACTTTGTGATAGGAAGAATCCAAAGTCATCAAATTTCCAGGTGCACAGATTAGAGACCAGGTTAAGATGCCCCTATATTATATAAATAGCATGAGTTAACCTAATAAAAAATTGTGACTAATATAAAACGTACGACTTTAAGGGCAAAGAATTGATTTTGGACGTAAAATGAGTTCTATATCCCTATTTGCCAACCCGTCACTTTTAATGCAGATAACAGTGGACCGTTTTAGGGTCGATATCAATTACAGTTACAACTAAACTAGAGGACTGCAATCATTCATCAACAAAAATTATTTCGAATAACTACGGATCCTTATTTTAGCCGGTACGCATTGATTAAATGATAAATGCGGCATGGCAACCCCACCAAATACATGTGATCTCCGACTAAGGACTATATAATATAAAAACAAACATATAAACAAAATATAAGACTTACGAAACAGGATCTAAAAGAGCTGTATGAGCCAAGACTGAAGGATACGTAGACGAACATGACGAGATAGCTAAGAATTATTGTAAATATATCGGAAGCAGACTGTCGTGATATTTCGTCCTCTATCGAACGCTGATGAAATAAAAAGAATAAAAAAGCAGATGTTAATAAGAAACGGTAACTGTAAGTAAAAGTAGGAGAAAAATATTCAGCAGAGGTTAAAAAGCTAAATAAGAGTAAAAGGAATAGGCTATAATAAAATCTAAATTACATCCATGGTAAGTAAAAAAATCGCCTAGAATATATAAGTTGTTTGACCTTGTTTTCGCAACTTGGTTATATTGGTAGGAAG